TGAGTATGAAGATTTCTGTCTTCTGGGTTGTTGCGCTGTGTAGTCTGGTCGATGTTTACCAACGTTTCTGAGGTCATACTGCCTCCGTCATCAGGGCGATTCATGAGACTACACAGCGCAACAACCCAGAAGACAGAAATCTTCATACTCACCGCTGTGAAAACCTCAAATCTTACAGAGAATGCCTTTACCTACAAAGATGAATAGATGTGATGTTATTAGTAAGGTAAACAGACAACAGATGTATCCAGTCCTGTCATCCCAACGATCGTGCTTAAAGGTCTGTATGACTTAATGTTTTGCTTTTACAGCTGGCATGAGATGGGTGTATACGATCTACCTGCCATCATTGACCATGTACTTGCTGCTTCTAATCAACGTTCTTTGTACTATGTGGGTCATTCCATGGGGTGCACCATGTTTTTCGTACTTACATCCAACCTTCCCCATTACAACTCCAAGATTCGCATTATGTTTGGCTTTGCACCCGCGGCATTCAACTCGCACATAAGAAATAATTTATTCAGAATAGCAACATTCAGCAAAGTTGGCGTAAGTTAATACCAGCCTTCACAGAAAAAAATATTAAATTAACACTTTAATTACACATGAAAATTTTAAATTATAAGGAAACTAACAAAATAAAAAAAAAGATGTTTCGGAGGGCAAATGGAAACAGCGCGAAGGAGATCACGTGTCTACAGCTCAAACAGTCGCTGGGATTTTTTTCCCATCATGGACAGTTTAAATTTCGGCCAGAGAACAGTATTTCTTAGCTTCCTGTAGACACAGCTTAGACGGAACATTTATTTATCAACGGGTCATAATCTGGCAATTAATATACGAATTTTTAAAGCTACCGGAAATATATGCAGTGATAAAAGTGCAATATATAAGCCTATATTATTCTTGGCATTACAAATATTGTAAAAGTTATGTTACATCTATTAAATTGTCATGATAAATGAATAAACATGGATGCCTGTTTGGCTGGGGATTCCCCACTGTTCGATTTTAACCTCAAATTATATGGAAGTCCAATCAGCTGCTCTTTGCTTCATTAATATTAATTTATTCTTTGAATTATTTACATTACAGACTGATAAAAAAAACATCAACAAAAACATTCACCAACCTAAAAGTTTATTTGAACACGACGCACATATATAGAACAACTTCAAATATATTAAAATGTAATCTGGAAGTAAATACCACTAATAACTGATTAACAACTACAAAAAAGTTGCATATAAGAAATTATGATTAAGTTTTTAAGTTTATATAATTGTAATTTTTACACACCTGAAGATGGTTCATCTAAGAACCGAAACATGTAGTGAGAAAGTGATGTTCCAAATGTAAATCGAATGTTTCGATAAGGAGCATCACATGGTATTTTAATTATCTTAATTTTAAATTTTAAATTGTGATTAGACGGACAAGATTAATTAATTTAAATGGACAGACAGACAAATATGGTGAAAACAACACGCACATTACTGAAATTTTCACTTAGGAACGCGCTTAGAGACCAAACAGTTACACATTATTTTAAAAAATTCCAATGTTCGTTACGAATGTAGACCTGCTTTCATGGTGGTACACGCGTAGTAATACAAGACATATTTCTGCATTCTAGGTTGAAGCTGACAGACTGTATAATAGTAACTTCTTCTCTCGCAACTGGATTCAAGACAGACTGTTCCAAAGATTCTGTCATAAGGATGGTCCTATGCAAATAATCTGTTCCAGCATACTTTTCATGCTTGGTGGATACAACTCAACACAACTAAACACAGTGAGTATATGTACATTTATTGATAAGAATTAATGAATAACTTTGGTTACCTATAAGAAGATTAAAGGCTTATTCTATTAAGATACTGATTTCTTGTTACGTAATTTAATAACGGAATATTTACGTCCGAGGTTACAGATTATTGATTTAGACTACAATACCCAATAATAATGAATTGTGAGTGAATAATTTTTTTGTAGATATTGTAACATATTCCCATGGACTTTCGAGGCATGAAACGTCTGTGAGAGAAGTCGGTAATAAGTGAAATATTTGAAATAAGTTAACTACAGGGAACAAAAATATAATATCACTGGCACACCAATCTGTTCAGTTAAATCTATGGAAAAAGAAATCTAAAATACGAGGAACACAACTTTTAAAGGATAAATAAATAAATCAATTAATTAATTAATAATAGTAACATTATACCAATACCCTAAAAAATTTAATTATAAGAGCGGGGAAAAAACTTTAAAATTAAGCAAGGTAAAACGTGAATTATTTTACCCCTGAAGTAAGTTACAACTGCATTATTCTTTTCACGAGTCGATTCAACTCGAGAACACCTGGATGGATTTCGATTAAATTTTATGTGAAGCTTGTGCTATTCTGAACGACCTCAAAATCGCATTTTTAATGATGATAACAAAATGTCGGTTGAGGAAAGTCGCGAGGTAGACACTGAAGTGCTGCGATCTCGTGACAAAAGTTGGAAATATCTAAAATACTTACATTTAATACTTCTAAATGCACGTCTCAAAGAACGCATGAGGATTATAATAATAATAATAATAATAATAATATCCAGTCTATTCACCACTTTATGGGGTATTTACTTCTATGTACCCGAGATAAACCTTGCCCCTAAGGTATTTCCAAAATACATTTTGTTTTTAATACGTGTTACATGTATTATATGGTTTTATTGTTAGAGATTACTACATATTTTACGACAGAATCTTTCGGATGATGTATGAATATCCCAAAATGGCGGTCTTCTACAGTTCCCTGATGTCGTGTTCGCCCGGAATGTTGGCCAAATATTTTCTGAGTGACTTGGAGACAGTTCCTGTCGCTTCTATAATTATTGGGATTACTTTTGCTTTCACTTTCAACATTCTCTGTATTTCAATGAGAATGTCCTTGTATTTCAAGATATTCTCTGCTTCATTCTTAATTACGTTCCTGTCAGTCGGTATTGCTATATCAATTAAGAGGCAAGTTCCATTTTTGTTTCGGATTATAATATCTAGTTTGTTATTTGGAATGGTTCTATATTCTTATTATTCTTATTATCATCATCATCATCATCATCATCATTACTGTATTACTTGTTGGAAACGCACTAATTCATCGCACCTTATTGCACTTACATGAGATAATGCTAAAAATTAATGGCTTCAATTATATTTTCTTACAGACATTAGTACCAATGATTATGTCCAATTTCCCCGCTGGATCATCATTAAAATCCTGGGTCCATTACGGACAAGAAATGAGATCAGGTAAGTCCGAGTTCTCATACATGTTTCGGGTTATTATTAGCTCTACGCAGTGCACGTCTTCAGACAGTTGGCCTAATCATGTCAGAGCATTGGACTTCAGGGGCGGTCCATACGGCCCTCGGGGCAAAGGCCCCGCGAACATTTTCCGAATCGATGTCCCGGAACCTCGGAACCCACATACTAGCACATTACGGCTTGTGACTCAGTCCCCGGTAGGTCACTAGAAACTGCTGTTGCGTGCTGTCATGGCTGGTTTTGCATTAAGTGATACACTCTTTATAAATATAATCCGGGGTAGCTCAGTCAGTATAGTTACTGGATTACTGGGGTCCGATTCCAGACGAGGGCAGAGGAATTTTCCTCTAGCATCTGAGTCCAGACCGGTTCTGGGGCCCACACAGCCTCCTATCCAACGAGTACCGGGGTCTGAAACGTCTATAAACGTCTACCAGACTACACGGCACTACAACCCAGAAGACAACTAAATTTGTCTAAACATTGCTAGTGAATAATTCGGTTTCTGAAGAAATAATGTATAATTTTTGGTTACTCGTATTTCTGTTTTGTACCCCTAAATACGATCGTCTACTTAGTGTTAACAATTAATCTTCTCATTAACAGGCCACACTCCAAGATACTGAATTTAAAACGCTTTTGAAAATATGATAATTAAGAAAGTTAACCGCCAACTATCAACAGTTTAAAATAAATATCTCTGGGTTAAACAGCTGTAATTATATTATAACGTAGACATGTTCTAAGTGGAGATAGAAAATGTTAATCTACTTTACAGGCTTCCCATAAACTGGAGACACTTGAAAGATAATAAATATGTAAATCCATGTGTCGTGTCCTTGCAGGGAGATTTCGACAGTATGACCATGGTCGCGAATTAAACTCGAAGTACTATGGAACCACAGAACCTCCTGACTATAACCTGACGGCCATTACTGCAGCTGTAAGTCTACATATCAGTGACGGGGATTCCCTGATACCATATGAGGTTTGTAGTTCGCACGTCTTTCTGATTAATAAATCATGATGAAGTTCAAATAGAAACGTTTAGGGATCATTTTAGGATAAATAACGATGTTTGTTTTCTGGTTTTTAATGCCTTGTAAACTTATAATTAAAAATACCAGAGTTTCGAACATACTGCCTTAATTTTCAGGGTTAAATTTTTCATATCAACATAAATAAGTGTGTTGGATTGCAATTTTCACATTATATGAAGAAATGTTACCTGTTTTCAATCGTATTTAAATTATTACAGACAACTCTATTTGGAAATAAAATATCACAGATCAATAAACATTTTACTTTTCATTCTCATATTAAATACTGACGAAAGTGATAATATTAAGAGCTGTCAGCTTCATAAATATTTCCCTTCAGAATCCTTATATAAGTAGTTGAGAAATCAAATTTTCCATAACCCCCATACGTCTCTCGAAATGTTTCAGGATTTTTTTTTTGTATTTTGAGTATCTGTCACTGTTCAAGAGTTTCAGCTTTCATGCACATGACTTTGGAGCATATTGTAAACAATGTTATAAACTAAAAATATTATTACATTACAAAAAAAATACAAATAAGCTTAAAAAGTTGGCACATCAGATATGAAGTACACAGCTCAGACAAGATTAAAGCAAAAATCCAACCGACAGAAACAATGTTGTACGAACACGAAAACATAGTCTGATTGGACATTTTAAATTAATAAATACTTAAAGTTTGGGACTAATACTACAATAAAATTAAAATTCTGAGCTTGTATTCAGTATGTCTCTCACTAAGAGAAGTACCGTCTGTTTTATGTTTCAGGATGTCACAAAACTGTACAGAGCTTTGCCGAATGCAATTGGTCTCTTTAAAGTTCCGCTGTCGACATTCGGTCACTTCGATTTCCTGTGGGGACTGGATGCAAAGCATTTGCTGTACGACTTAATTATCGGTCTGATGGAGAAATATTGATTTCTAATTCAGAATCATGTGTTTAATCACGTATAATTTGAAGTTTTCACGTCTGTGAATCCGAAGATGTCTTCCTCTAGGTTCGTCATCAGGGCGATGAAGGCTGTGGTCCTCATCGCCCCGATGATAGAGGCAGCAAGGACATCTGGAAAGTTGATATACTTGAACCCACAAGACAGCCATCTTAATATTACATGATGAAAACCTTCGTACAAGGTGAAATGTTGTTTGTTGTTTTCAGTATTCCGGAATGTTAATAAAATTTGGAATATCTCTGATTTATTACCATACAAGTATGAATAGGCCTATCCTACGTAACTAAACCTAAGGTTTGTAACGATTGTGTATTGTTAAAACAATTAACTCTGGATATTATCCATCGTCATAATTTTCGTTAAAAAAACGACGTTTCGGAGTCTGAACTCTTGTCTCCTTCGTATCTCCAGGAATAGGGACTAGTTCTGTCATGGATAATGTGCTTTCCAAAATGCAATTCTGTTCAAAATTTGGCCCAGTCCCCTCATTGACATTTTACATCATAGTGAGTTTGAACAAATTGGGATCGTATTATTTTGAACTGCATTATGTTCATGAGCGTATGTTTGTCACACGAACAATGTTTTACACAAATGCTACCAGTGCTTATTACAATTGCACTACTGTATTATTTCACCATCTAACAGGAATTAAAGGTAAGTGTGACGTAGTAAGCCCCATCCTAAAAGCATTCGTTCCACAACCACTGAACGAACAGACGACAGGCTTGCATGTGTTCTAATGGGCACAGCTTTAAGATTACCTCACAGAGGCACAGCGATTTAATCTAGAATATTATCGCAACACCCACAGAACACATTAGAGGTGCGCTCACTACACGCTACTCTTAACTGCTTGATGTTTTCAGTCTGTGTAGTAGTGTAGTGTGATTTGACAACACCGTATAGAAGCACGGCCTCTTAATTAATATAATGAAACATAGTATGTAACTTTTCTGTGTAAATGTGACGAATGGATAATTGGTTTACCATTTTAAGGGCACAATATGAATCACTAAAACAAAATAAACATCTGAAATTCCGCACTCAGAACAAATTAATTTGTTGTCATGAGAAAACGTAAATAATACGAGTATGGATCGTAAGAAAAATGGTGTTCATTACTCTTATTACTCAATAACTGACTGCAGTATCTTAATTGGTACTTTTCGCTGTCCTGACACTACACAACATCGCACACTTTCCACCTCAGATCAGTTTTAAAACGTCCCTTCAGGCTTTAAAACTAAACTTTAATATCCATCACTCATCTACCTTATGCATGCTAAAAAAAACTCACCAATCTCCTTCAATTGATCGTCCTAATGTCTGGTGAAAAATACGATTTATGGAACAGATCATTTTAAAAAGTTTCTCCAGGACTCCGTCACGTCGATGTAGGTCAAAATATTCTCTTAAGGATTTTGTTATGAGACAATCTAATGTTCTTACCGACACAAAGCTTCATATCAATACAAAACATAACTACAATTTATTATAATCGATTACTTACAGTTTCAGACAACAAACAAAAAATTCTGAACTGCATGGTAGCAATCATTACCCATATTTAATTTGCTTTTAATTGTTCCATTAATTAAATTTTAATTTGTTATCGTCCTTCACATATGTTTTAACATTACTCATCTTACAAGGTTTTATTAATTACCCGTAACTATAATTTTTTATGTAGTTTGGTGGTGAGACAAATATTCTTAGTTTTCTCTATGCTTCCTTTTAAACAAACTTCCTTACCAGCTTCTATGATTTTTGTGATATTCATGTTTCTGTCTAATACATTAACATCAGCGTAGACCAGAAGCCGATGTGGCCCATTCAATACCAATTCTTCTTTGATTTCTTAAACCTTCCTAATGGTGTACTTTAATGACAACGTTACAAAGAAAGCGTCACTAAACTAATTAAGAATCCCTTTGTAAGTATAAGTTGAAGATCCTTGCTACTGCGCAGCCAAAAACCTTCTTGTTTGACGGCTACAGTAGATGAGGACATAACGTCGCTTGCATCATCCTGAATCTCATTTTGTCTTACGTAATTATCTGCATAAAATAACTAAACAACAGTTACATTACATGAACACTATCCATGTCACTGTATTCTATACGTCTGAACATGTACAAAATGATCATGACCTTTTCTGAATTAATGTTTAAAGTCAACCGATAAATCAGTCGTTCTTATCAAGTTTTAAAACATTCGAGGAATACAGACAAGTCGGAGTTCGCTTGCAAATGTTGATAAAATCAAGTTCATCGTACATATATTATTGTAAATTACACAAGCAAATACTTTTACCCACATGTACATAAAAATATGCAACTCTAGTTTGGTGTTTAAACATCCATCTTTATCCGTCCCACGTAAATCCATAAGATATCTCGAAATTAAATTAAGTATTTTATCTACAGTATAAGATATGTAGACAATTAAATTTTAGTTACAAAGACCTATCAGTGCTGCCAACAGTGTCAAAATTTCACAACTATCGCTTTAATCTGTCAGTAGTGAGTGCTTAATTAGAGGCAATTCCTTTCCTATTTCAATTACAAAATAATTTATTCAGAGGATCTTTGTTGTTCTGGTGAATGTAATATTCCACGAATGTTCTGACGTCAGCTTCATATCTCTGTTCCTGATTATAAAATTAAGGCAAATAAAATACGCGAATATCTTGATCCTTCAGTTCGCTTTTAAAACTTATGCGTCACTTATATTTCAAACTTATAAGACAGGACTTCGTACTGATATCTCCGTATCATAAGCAAAATGCAGTGCATTCAGAAACACTAGTCAACATCCTGATTCTTACAGAGATAAATAAATTTAGTCTAGAAGCTAAGTGCATTTGAAATACAATCACGTGCGTTTAAGAAGGGTGACTGAAGAAAATATGAGACTTGCAGTGTGGACAACGTTTCTTGCTTTCATGTGTTACTTAGCTATGGATGCTGTTAGCGGAAGACGGAACAAGAATGTGCCTAAATCACTATCTCCTATGGTAAGAAATTGTTTTTTTAAAATCTACATGTGTGCGTCTCTTCGTGAAATACGAACAAGTTTAGCTTTTAAAAATTTAAGGTGTATTAGGAATTCGCTTTATACAGTTAAATCCATGAGAACTGTGCTTCAAAATATTAAAATTAACGACAGTTACGATATAACGACTTTGAATCATGTATACAGGTTATTTTTATTATTTAAATGCTTGTGACAACTGATTAAATAATTTCACCGTAATTACATTCTAAACCTCAATAACAATTTAGCCATGTGATTACTAGGAAGCAGTATAGATTGATAAATTCGCAGGTGCCAGGGTAAAAGCTAGTCAAAAAATTACAACCGAAGTAAGATTAAAACTTTACCTGTAATTTAGCAAAACTATGACATCAGGCTTAATTTAATTTATAAACTGTGTAAAAATATTTGTAGTCTTTTAAGAGTCGGTAAACGTGTCAGAACGTTTCAATAATTGTTTTTCTTTTCGTTAGGACTTACGTCCATTTACCCTGGCAACAGTTGGTTTAGAATCCTGTGTACAATATTTATTTCTACAGTTATCTTGTATCACACATTTAATGGAATTCTTTATAATAAACAACAAACAATATTAATTATTAATTACATGTCATCATGACATACGCGATGCCAGATAAAAGTGAGTGTGTGAAATTCTCTCTCTGACGAATAAAAAGACACTAAAACCATTTAAGGTTCACGCGATGCCAGTTAAAAGTGAGTGTGTGATATTCTCTCTCTGACGAGTAAAAAGACACTAAAACCATTTAAGGTTATTTGAATAAAAATTTTCTTGGATATTATCCATCGTCTAGTAAATAAAATATAAAACGATATGGATTAGCTCTATCTTGTGGGTCCAACTGAGTAGGAACCTGAAGACGGAGATAGAGCCCCATCTCCGAAACGTCGTTTTACGTTTTATATTTTATTTACTAGACGATGGATAATATCAAAGAAAAATTTTATTCAAATGACTCATCACCATCGTCAAGAAATTTTAGATTTGACATTTAAGGTTAATTTGTAATTTTAAACAGTGGCTTACACATAACATAAATATACGTGTTCTCAGGTTTTATACAACTGCATAAAAACACACAGCACATCATTGTACGCCATCCTCATTCAATCTCATCGCTTTCAAATTCTCACATTTTCAAAAAAGAATTTTAAAATTATCGTCATATTCCTTTCTCCATTTTCCAAAAATTTTCCCCATCACAGTTCTGTGCAGAGACGTAATTATCTAGTTTTCAGCTATGAGATCAGACAAATAAAAGCTGCGTCTTATAAAATCATGTTTTTCTATGAATTGGTCTAGCCGAAGTTGATAACACAACATGGCTACCCGGCGGAGACCCACACAGTGACAACTGAAGACGGCTACATCCTCACGATGCATCGTATTCCCTACAGCCCAAAATCAAACAGTACGGACACCAAGAGACCTGTCGTGTTCCTGCAACATGGTCTTATAAGCAGCTCCGTGGATTGGGTCATCATGGGACCGGACAAATCATTGGGTAAGTTCGTATTCTAACTTGGCTTCCATTATCTGCTGACGTCAGTTTTAAGACAGAAGAAAGAAACTTTTATCGTCTTGATTTAGTTTTAAACTTAATTATAACTTCTCTGTCTCTCTCGCTTCCCCTCCCTACCACTCAATCTAAGTAGGATTTCTGGTTCCCAAGACGGTGAGTACGAAGATGGCTGTCTTGTAGCGCCGTGTAGTGTGGTAGAACTTTACCGATGTTTCAGAGATGATTGCTGTCTCTTGTACAGGGCAGACCACATTTTGCTACAATCCAGAAGACAGCCATCCTCTTGACACTACATTTTCGGTTATGAAGGTTTCCTGGCAAAGCCCGCTCGATCTTGTGGTAAATATATATTAAACAGAAGGTAAATCTTTCGGAAATGATAATAAGTGAAGGAAAAGAATCTTCATAGGGTATATTAATCTTAGGAGGGCTTAGACGTAGATGTGAGGATAATCTCAGGCGGGATCTATGGGAGCTAGGAGTTGAAGGAGACGGGATTTTGTTGGCCCGGGACAGGGTCCGGTGGAGGGCTTTGGTTAATTCGGTGATGAACCTTCGGGGTTGGTAAGCCATCTAGTTAGTTAGTTAATCTTAGGAGGGCTTAGACGTAGATGTGAGGATAATCTCAGGCGGGATCTATGGGAGCTAGGAGTTGAAGGAGACGGGATTTTGTTGGCCCGGGACAGGGTCCGGTGGAGGGCTTTGGTTAATTCGGTGATGAACCTTCGGGGTTGGTAAGCCATCTAGTTAGTTAGTTAATCTTAGGAGGGCTTAGACGTAGATGTGAGGATAATCTCAGGCGGGATCTATGGGAGCTAGGAGTTGAAGGAGAATGGATTTTGTTGGCCCAGCAAAGTGTCCAGTGGAGGGCTTTGGTTAATTCGGTGATGAACCTTCGGGTTCGGTAAGTCATCTAGTTAGTTAGTTAATCTTAGGAGGGCTGCATTTGGTGGAAATCCGATGTTCACATCTTCGAGTGAAATTTTTATGATAATATTTGGGGAGAGAGTACGCATAGCACAGTTAATTAAAAACTGTTATGATATTAATTCTAACTGTTTAATGTAACTCCCATGTGTGTCTCACGCAGCCTATCTGCTAGCTGATGGAGGATACGATGTGTGGATGGGGAACTCAAGAGGGAACATGTACTCCACAAAACACAATAAACTATCCGCAATGCTTCCAATATTTTGGTCCTTCAGGTATGTAAAGACACAGGCCTAACTAATTCAATAAGGAGAAAGCTAGGCACGTGAAAGTATATCTGAAATTAAGGAAAGGCAATTTCCTTCCGCATATTTTCTAATTTATTATTCATTAATCTTTACGTCATTCAACGCATCAAAAACTGAGCTACTGATGACGTCGTTAAATAAACAGTAAATATATATAATCTATAAAAATGAAAAAAAATATTTGATAAGAAACGTAAATAACTTCTGTGTAGGTAGCATGCCTGGAAACGAACCCGTATTCACATCTGGGAAATCTGTTTTGATAGCAGAGAACAATCAGTCACCTTTTTCCTTGAAGTTAGACACACGCGAAACATAAATGATAATTTAATAGTAAGTCTAAATATACGTTACCATCTCACATTTGGGCTACAAGCTTAGTCTGATAATCAAATTATATATTTATAGTCAGAGATACAGACAAATATGCAAATTTGTGGGATTTTAAGTTTTCACTGCGGTGAGTCTGAAGATAGCTGTCTTCTCGGTTGTTGCGCCGTCCAGTCTGGTAGAAGTTTCAGAGGTCCTTGCTGCCTCCATCATCATCATCGCCCTGATGATGGAGGCAGCAAGGACCTCTGAAACGTCGGTAAACTTCTACCACAGTACACGGCGCAACAACCCAGAATACAGCCATCTTCAGATACTCAAATAAATCGACAGATAGTTTTTAAAAGATGATAGATTTACTAACAGGTAATATATGTATATAACACATATTATATCTCATTTGTACATATACATATAATAATAATAACACGTTAACTGTAACAGCTGAGTATTCTTATATTCGCATTTATTGAGGTTGAATGTTACCACAATGGAAACGTTTCTAAGAATATTTCCATAATTTTTGTTTATATTTACATCTCCAATATGATATAGTTAGTACGAGGCTCTTCCACAAAGTAAGTTTCCCTGGGGCCGTTTACAGAAACAAAACACAATTTCATGGAAATATTTATTGCAACAGATACAGCAAGTGTCCAGCTATTTTTCAACATATTCGCCACCGGAATTGAGACATTTGTCATACCGTGGGACCAACTTTTGAATACCTGGGTCGTAGAAGTCTGCCGCCTGGGATTGGAACCACTGTGTGACAACCATCTCCGCCTCTCTTTCATTCTCAAAACGCTGACGCTGACGCTGACCGGACAGGAATTTCTTGAGGTGTAGGAAAAGATGGAAATCACTGGGAGCGAGGTCCGGGCTGTAGGGTGAATGATTAAACACCTCCCAGCTGAACTCCTGCAGGAGACTTGCTGTCCGTCGAGCCGTGTGCGGCCTAGCGTTATCACTGACCGCACTTCACAGTCGGCGGGAGCTGGAATAAGAACCTCCATCTTCAACAGCTGCAACGATGCTACTGTGAGAACGCGGGAAGTACCGTTAATGCATGCGCCATGCTACGTCATTGCTCTATCACGTACGCACAGTCGCTTCGCGCAATATAAGGTTTGCTAGCTGTGGGACGAGTGGGAAACTTACTTTGTGGACGCGCCTCGTACTTATGAAAATATATAAATTTTAAATTAGATTATTTATTTTTTAAAACACTGTAGTATTAATTCAAAGAAGTCTGCTCTAAAATGTGTATCATTCATTATCCCTAAGAGAGAAATGTAAAATTTGTTGACAGCTGGCATGAAATGGGTGTATACGACTTACCAGCTGAAATCGACTACATCCTGACAAACACAGGGCAGAATGACCTTTCCTACGTGGGTCATTCAATGGGCACTACCATGTTTTTTGCGCTCATGTCCGTGAAGCCAGATTATAACGCCAAAATCCGCCACATGGTGGCTCTGGCACCTGTCGCCTTTCTGAGGAACACGAAAAGTCCTTTCGCTTCTATCACAAAACTCTTACCGAGTGGAGTAAGTAGTCTCATAGTTTTAAGATACTACCTGCATGTGAAGTAAAATTTCATCCATGTACCTTTTTAATTATAAACACCTCTGATACGTCAGAAAGAATTTACCAGACAGCACGACACAACAACCCAGTATACATTCATCTTAATTTTGCTAAGATATTATTTTTTTTTATCCCGGGGGCCGTCTAGCCTTGATTTTCGTAGTTGTTCTCAATCGCTCCAGATAAGTTCTTCAACAGCACTTAAACACAGACCATGACAACATCCATTCGAATATTTTAAAGAAATTCATTCTAATATTTTCTGTTTATCAAGAGCCTATAAATAAAATACATTATTCCATCTTGACTATGACAGTTATCTTAAGTGTCCATGCCCGTATTACTAATTACAGTCTTAATTATAATTATCAGTTGTTCGGTAGTTTTACAGATTTCTAAAAATAAACATCTGTTTCAGGTTCTATTTGATTTTGTTTCCAACTGGCCATTTTTCCCAAACAAGAAGTTGTCTAATGGTCTTCTCGGGACTTTCTGTAAGATTGGAACTATTACGCAGAGCATGTGTACAAACACCCTATTTCAAATAGGTGGTTTCAATACGAACCAGCTAAATCAAGTAAGTGAACACCTTAAGTAGATTACATCAGATGTTTTGATTTATGTCAAAGTATTGGTTATAATCAATGAGCACTGTTTCTGCACTCTTAAGACAATTCAAATGATTCCACGCATGAAATGTCGTTTAAGGATAGAAAAACTTTTTATCTTTAAAAATAAAAAAATTAACATCATTTCGTTAAATCACAACACACATGTAGGAACATCTCATATTACGATCTACCAAATTCGTCTTATAAATATTTCGCTGTTAATCACATAAAGATCAGGACGGTTTTACGTATTATAAAAATAAATTAAAAGATAAATATTTATACTGAGGACCTATGCAAATAAAATAAAATTCTGTGTTAAAAGGTATCACCATTGTGCATAATTCTTCAGACGCTGATTATCACTATTTTCGCCTGTCAGAATCCCAAAGGATTATTACCATCTTAAAAAGAATACGCCACTAAACCTATCCTGATTCATATTGATGAAGTATCCGTGTTTACATCGTATTCATTAAAATATATTTTATTAAATTAAATTATTTGGCTATTCCGTCAAATCACAATGTATTTAAAATAAGATAATTAAAATAATTAAAATATCATTCTGTGTTCCATATCGAATAATCGATTTACAATTGGAACAGTTACAACATGTTTCGGTTTTATTAAACCATCATCAGGTGTAAAATTATATTATCGTATCGAATTTAATATTCCGAGTATATCTCATAAGAAAAAACAATTTAAAATATCTATCTTTTCTGCACTGCACAAAACATGTGTTCCACACAAAGTAATAGTTACATTTTGGGTTTTATTACAGACAATGCTGCCAACAATACTGCACTATTTCCCTGCTGGTTCTTCAATCAAAGCCTGGAAACACTACGGTCAGCTTATCAATTCAGGTAGACATCGGGTGTTAACACAGAACATATAATCCCTACGTGACAGTGTGTTATGTGTACGCGGTCTGCCATGATTTTTGAGAAATGACGTAAGCTGTTTGAAGGTGTGGGAATGGTGGGACACAACAAAAACATTTTATCACAAATACACAAATTCCCCTAATACTTTTAGATACATTCTAATAATAACAAATCAGGAATGAGTAGAAATTGTGCAGAGACATTGGGCTTGTCACACACTACCCAAAAAATCACTAATAAGGACACGTTGCCTTGAACAACTGTCCCGGAAAGGATCAATCGCCTATTCCTTGAACTAGAAATAAATTAAATGAACCAACTACTAAACAGCGACTTTCCACTTATATTTCTGTCCTTATTACTGCTGAATTACGTTCGTAATGGGAAAATAATATTTGACAAGTGAACTCGTGTTTCCACAACCATCAGTAACAAACTACTAGCACGTGCGTGGCATAATGTAATGTAGAACAGACCGAACCGTTTCATTGAAAAGTTTATAAAATTAACGTCTCGTGTTGGTTCAAATTGTAGCTGGTAAGCTACGAGGTGCGATCGGAAAGTTTCAAGACTGTGTCAATAGAGGGCGAACCGGATGTAGTACGAGCTTCTGCCTTTAGGGGGTGCGGCCTACATTCATAGTGAATCAGTGTGCCAGCCGGCATCATCGAATTAGGATTTGTTTCTTAGTTACGGACGTTTTGGTAGTGCATTACACCGACCCTCCTGCGATTTCGGAATGGCGTGTGCATCAAATTTTGCCAAAGACTCGCCAAAACGGCTACGGAAACCTATGAAATGCTAAAGCAAGCATTTGGGGAGTCCGCAATGGGTCGTGCACCAACTTTTGTGTGGCATTCACGTTTTAAAAATGGCCGAACCTCTGTCGATGATGACGAGCGTTCTGGACGACCATCTTCGAGCACAACGCCCGAAAATGTTACGAAGATCGACGTCGTACCATCAACGACTTGTGCGACATTTTTGGGATAGGCTATGGGACCTGTCAGCTGATTCTAAAGGAAGAACTCCACATGCGACGCATCCTGTCAGAGGACTAGAAGCAGAATCGACTTCTCGTTTGTCAGGAGTTTAAAGATCTTGCAAGAACCGACCCCAGCTTCCTTTCTAAGCTCCGTGTGACTTCTTCCTCTTCCCAAAGTTGAAAATTCAGCTAAAGGGAAGGAGATTTGAGACGATAGAAGAGATTCAGGCAGAATCGCAGATGGTGCTTGAGAGGCTGACAAAGAAAGATTTCCAGGGATGCTTCCAGGCTTGGCAGCGGCGCTGGGATCGTTGTGTTCACTCCCAGGGGAACTACTTCGAGGGTGATGGATGAATTTAATACCTGAGATAAGTGTACGGGTTTTTATAGGCGCAGTCTAGAAACTTTCCGATCGCACCTTGTATCAGTGTCTGCAAGTCAATTTTTGTTTCAGTGTTAACATTACGAATAACACTTTCCGTCATTTGCATACGCACCGCAATGCATTATGAAGTAATAAATACAGTTTCTTTCTCTTAAAGGTAGCTTCAGGCAATATGATCATGGACTTGTAAATCTTTACAAATATGGCAATTTGTATCCACCAGATTACAATTTGGATAATATCAACTCATCTGTCAGCCTAGTTGTTGGTGCTAACGACTGGTTAGCAACTCCTGAGGTAAGCTTGAACACGTGAAGGGGATATACTTTAATTAATGTGTTACCTATGTATTTATTTATTTATTTATAAATTCAGATAGAGTACGTATCCATCCATTGTCACGCAAAATAATAATTCTTAAGCAGTTCATAGCTAGTCATTACTGTATTGACAAAGACTTGCAATTGGTCACTATCATGAGCCACATTAATCCAGTATAATCCGCGTGTAGTAATATCCTAACTTCGTCTCCTGATTCAGCCTTCTTAAGAACATTTTATTTTTCTGATAACTTAATTTTCAAACACTTTTAATTTATGTTCTTTGCCAAAGAGACCTTACTCATTATAACTTCTTCATTTAACTTTACATTAATTTTAATTCTGACATGCAAACTGGACAGTGGGTATCATTTTAACAAAGTTCCGGTTCTTTTCGACGTTTCAGGACGCTACACAGTTACAACTGCAGCTACCTTTCGCCGTCTATCATGAAGTGGGACTTCCGGAATTTAATCACTTTGACTTCCTGTGGGCAATCGACGTGAAAACGCTGGTTAATGACAAAGTTCTGAGCCTTCTTAAAGCTAACTAAGACCGATATCTTGCATCATTCTATTTCCAACATAAGTAGGCTGAATGTTTATAAACAGGGATGCAGGCAGATACCAACTTTTTGAAAAATACAACATCTCCACCTTCAGCCCTAAAGATGCTGACAGTAAGTTTTTCGAAATTCTGCTATTTACCTGCATTTACACTGCCGTGAGAACCTCACAAATAAGATTATAGTTTTGTAGGAGATTATTACGTTTTGGGTGGAACATATAGTAAACATCTTGTGAGCAGTTGGTGAGAGTGTTATTCATCCACAATTATTAGTCGCTTTGATCGCTCATTATATAAGTATATACAATAATAAATTAATTCCACTGCTCAAGTAACTCTTAATTAATTATATAAGTTTACGGATTTTTGAATGTAATAATATTTTATATGATAACATATTCTCCTGTTATTTGATCGCTGTATAAATTTTTAACATAAGAAAACTAGTTTCAAGTAACAATTTTTCAACAGCACATATTTCAGGCTACCTAAATTCAGTTGATCCAGGTACGAATATGGAGTGATTATTTTCATAACTTTCTCAGAAAACTAATTAATTATATAAATTATTAGCAAAGTATAAATATGCGGTTCGTATATTAATTATAACATTATTTTACTTTCTAAACGTGGAAAGTGTTGTTCAGTGTTGTAAGTGTAATGTGGATGTTGTATTTTGCCATATTTCAGCATGATCCAACTGCAGTAATATTTAAACACTTGAATTCTACAAGTGTCATAAGGGTTTCGTATGGGTCCAATATACATATAATCTATTTCACAGCCCATATCTATATGTATATAGATTATTATTAATAGTTTCTCGTATAAACAAGTACACAATATAAAATTTAATCCAATTTATGTCTAAACATTTTAAAATAATTTTCTAACGGAATTTTATCTAATATAGTGTCCTATATATTTATTAAGTCTATGGTATATTTAACGAGTCTGTCAGTAGTAACGCTTATATAACGTACGATGCTTAATAAAAGTTAATTTGAAAAGATAAGTATGGAATCGGTCGTAATCTAATTTAAGACGCTGGAGACAGCGAGGAAAACTACGCTGGTCTCTGGACAGAAATTTGAACCAGGGCTCACCACTCTACTTCGATGTCCAATACATTGTCATATCTGGGTCTCTCATGATCAGTTGCTTTGAAATAACAGATCTTTGCCTCCAGTAAGTTAACATAAGTCTACAAAATTCATATAACGACTACGTCTTGTCACACAAAGGAGTTACGTCACAGGACGGCTCTACCGCTGGGTTGTGATTCAGTCGGCCTTCTGCAGATGACTCTGTGAGTCTTATCAGAAATAAACCACAAACACTCATGTTTCTTCCAAAGGTCACTGTATAACAGCACCATATGTGAAGCAAATCGAGCTATGTGAACAGTTTAGTGTAGTTTACATTGTCTACAATATAATATAATATATAGTATAAGATACTACTGGCCGATCAAAATATTAAGTTAACCGGAACTTCCTAACACAACTACACTTACAATATTAACTTTATGCAATGGAGTAGTTTTTGAGCAGGTAGTGGTCTCTCAGATACTAAAAATTTTCGGTGCATTTTACGTAAAACAAAGGTTCATTACAGTTTACACAAGAGGTCGCCACTGGACCCTACCCCTCGCCAGATAAATCTGTTCCACATTTGCTCACTAATTTTGATTATTTGTGATATTACACTACTCCAATTTACGTTTTCATCATGGCCTCCTTCTTTCACGTTTCCCTATCAAAATTCTGTGTGAATTACACATCTCTTCTAGGTCTACTACGTGCTGTGTGTATTCTTGGTTTAATCGTCGTAATAGAATTTTTTAAGAATTAAAATTAAGAATAATTTGGTTACATGACTTTAGCAGAAATAGAATTTATTGGTGCTGATAAACTATGAATCATATTATTATTCTCTTGTCAGCTTTCCATTCTAGATGAATCAGACATTCTTACACCAGTGAATGATAAGGGACTTTGCCCCCCTAGTGTCATCTCTCAGTTCGTCATCGACAGCAGAACTTCGATTTATTTTATTATAACTCCTTCCTTATTCTTTATTTAGTGATTATATCATTGCCTGTGGATTGGTTTAAAGTAAATTCTACCCTACAACACGTCGTGATTACTTAGTATAAATATCCAAAGTTGCAGTAAGAATGTTCACTTTTACTAAAACAGCTGTAGGAATATATTGTTATACAGTTTTATTCAATGAGGGTTTCAGAGTGGACGATGCAATTGTTAGCGACTTTATGTTGTCAATATATACTGTGCACAGACGGAAAAGATACGGCCATCAAGACGTGGACAGACACTGGACTGAAGTTACAGCTCCCTATGGTAAGAATATTTTTAACATGCGAATCTGGAGAATTTGTTAAAAACATATAATTCAAGCCTTATCCTTAACCAGAATGAACGTTTCATAAATTCTTATGTTCGGTTTCACCTCTGTGCGTTCTTACGAACAGCCTATATCCAAGTAAATTTATTATCTTTAATATAAATTAATTAATTAAAAATAAAACTTTTTTTTTCGAAATATCAATGCAATAAGTTTTAGCTTTCAATGCATACACCTGTAATAAATTCAAAATTCCAAACGCCTTAACAAAAGTCAATACGATGTATAAATTCCAAAGATGTTTACATAATTTGAGGTTAAAGCCGGCAAATTGCCGGATTTACCAGTCTATTGCGCGCCAATTGTGTAAACCAAACAATCTGCCATTGCACTGTGGTGTTCCAACGGGTGTAGAGTCCAAAGGATCTGTTGTTTTCATCTTCCAAAACTTTTTATCTTAACACAACCTGCATTAAAATCTTACAACTGGAAATGTGGCGGGATCTGAGAACACGGGATTGGTTCTATGATAATTTTCTAGATGTCACCACTACTCACTCTTGAGTCTGAGAAAATACAGAATCGATTGTAACATTCCACTGCGTGATCGGCAGAACAAATCACGTATCTTAATTCTGATAAAGGTTTACAACAAAACATCTCGTCGATATTGTTGCATTATTTATATTGTTGTTGGGGCGATTAAACAAAATAAGTTCTATTATGTTAAGATATATGGTCCGAATGGGTTAAATAAATGCATACGTACAAAAATTTAGACCTCAAATTATGAGAATACGAACAAATTTGTCCAGTCACGGTGGAGTAGTTAGCATTCCCGTTTCGAATTCATAATATCTCGGGTTCGAACATAAACCGGCTACAATGAAGTTAAATTTGATTAAATAAACTATTACCACTTACATCAAGATGTGAGATTTCAGGTTCTCACGTCAGTGAATGTGAATATGGCTGTCTTGTGAGTACTCAACGCCCTGATGATGGAGGCACCAAGCACCTACGAAACGACGGTAGACATCTAACACACTACATGGTGCAATAATCCAAAAGGCAGCCATCTTCCATCCACATTGATTTTAATTAATTATTTACATATATAAACGTGTATTACCGTCTGACATTACGTACATAATCGATTTAACCTAGTTAAAATGTGTCGTTAAATAATTATATAACGATAACTAAAATTTTAATCAACCACTAGGAAGACAGCAATTGATGTAACTATAATATTAAAATGAATCCTACTGAGGTACAACACGAATATATGCTTTGCGGGGTCCTCATCTTAGCCGCGGGAGAGGGAATAACATTTATTTTCATTGCCAACATTATCATTTAAGCTTCGGATTATAAAACAGTGGCCTTGTAATCCTGGGGTCTCGGGTTCGATTCCCGGCGGTGCCCGAATTTATAACTTGTGTTGGGCAAGGCCGTGGTCTAGGCAACACGGAGTTTTCCTCCCGGGCATCCCAACAATTACTAATATGTTATAACACTTCTTGGTCTAGCCGAAGTTGATAACACAACATGGCTACCCGGCGGAGACCCACACAGTGACAACTGAAGACGGCTACATCCTCACGATGCATCGCATTCCCTACAGCCCAAAATCAAACAGCACGGACACCAAGAGACCTGTCGTGTTCCTGCAACATGGTCTTATAAGCAGCTCCGTGGATTGGGTCATCATGGGACCGGACAAATCATTGGGTACAGTTAACAGACCTACAGGGATGATACGACAGGAGCCCGGCGAAATTACATGATGAAAAACTCAAAAAAAAATTCATCAAGAATTACTGGGGGTGTTTAAATCAAAGATGAGAGGGTGAGAAATGCTTACGAAATTTTAGTTGAAAAGCCTGGAGAGAAGAGTTGAGTCGGAAAAACCACGTAGAAAAGAGGATAATATTAAAATGGATAAAGAAGTATATTAAGATAATTTCGACTGGGTTGATCTGGTTCTTGATACAGGCAGGTGGCGGACTCTTGTGAGCACAGTAATGAACCTTCGGGACTCGATAAAAGGCTAAAAATTTATTGATAAGCTGTTTCATGGATTTAGTCATGAAATTTACATATCCCGCCTATGGTTTAATTATTCTTACATCAGGCAAATCATTAGCTACATTTAAAGTATGCAGAGTATAATATATTTTATATTTCTTTGTCGTCTACACAAAAAATGTGTTAATATTACAGAATGTAATTTACTGGGTGGACAGCAAAGAATCTGATATCAATGTTCTGTTATCCTTCATAATTCTTGCGACGAATTCTAACTTACAAATAAGACATCTCATTTATAAAATGTTTGTCGTAGCCTATTTAATGGCTGATGCTGGTTATGACGTATGGATGGGGAACGCACGAGGAAATGTCCACTCCACAAAACACGAGAGCCTGTCGCCTTCATCTTCAAAATTCTGGAGTTTCAGGTACTTAGCCTACACACATATAGCTTTTCTCTACGAACCAGAAACTTTAATTTCTTTATCTGAGCACAGACGACGCAGTCAATTGTGACCCTGAATAACGACGTTAATATTAGTTACGCAGAGTGATAGGCCGTGAAGTCTGGTAGAAGCTCACCGACGTTTCAGAGTTGTTTTACTGCCTCCATCACAGCCCTGATCATGGAGGCAGCAAGTTCCTCTGAAACATCAGTAAACTTCTACCAGAATACACGGTGCAACAATCTCAGAAGATATCTTCATACTAAAATTTCACCACAACTACCGTTTCCACAGTGGTATTCAACCTTTTTTGTTCGCGTACCCCCAGATATAATTTCTATTCAACTTTGTATCCCCAAAGTTGTTGGTGTATAATTCAAGTTATACATAGTACATAATCTACATCTTAAATAAATTAAATAAATTACATTCAAAATAATGTATTAAATCTGGCCCTGATTATTCAGTGCTTATCATATTTTCTTTTTAAATTTCACGTACCCCCGGGGGTATGCGTACCCCAGGTTGAATACCACTGATCTAAAATATCAGACTAATTTTTGTATGATTGAAGATTATAACAAAAATCAAATAACAAACACAATTTATGGGTTCAAAACGTAAGTAATGGCAGATTATTTCTCTTACGGGCTTCGTGTTTAATCTTAGCTGACTAAGACGTCCTCAATTGAACCTGTGTATACTTCCGTCCAACATATTTATAATCTATACATGAACAAAATACAATTATTTTCCAAAAAAATACCACAATGGTGCCTAAAATACAACACAGTTAAAATTAAAATTTGCTAAATATGATCGAAGCTTTTTACACATAAAATATATTTTAAGACTAGAAAAAACATTTTTATTAAAATATTCCTCTTCAAATTACGCCATAAAATATGCGTATTTATTTTGTTTCTTTCCCATTTGACTAGTAGCGTATCGCACTTAACTGCTGATATTATTTTATTTGATTAAAATGTAGGAACTTTTCATTACCTAAATGACCAATTAGGGAAGAAAGGCATTATTCCTTTCGCTATAGCATCCAGTCTCTTAGAAATCAGACAACAGGGAATTCTTTACAAGTTGCTACAGCGTGAAATAGACCATTCATAGCATGTAGTGTACAATTTAATAATGCACGGTGCTATAATTTTACTCCCCTATACGATTTAATGACTTTTCCTCGAAAGAAATCCACAATTCAAAAGCACAGTCGATTTACAAGACCAATCGTAATTATAATTAGCCCTGTCCTAGAACACTATTTTTGAAATTAACCACAAGAAAACATTTTTAAAGAATCCGTAAATCTATAAATTTAATTGGTATAACTGTAAATATAACACAGCGAAACTCCATGAAAGTGTGGTATTCGTAACAAGACAATAGTTACACAAATCAAGATTAATTTAGTCCATACCATATTTCTTTCATGTCTAATCTCATACTGCCCTCCTATTTACGTCTGGGTCTCCCAAATTCTCTCTTGTATTCAAATTTTAGAACTAAATTACTCATTTATCATCTCCTTTCATGGAATATACCCAATATATAGGATTTGAGACTTTCACGACGAGTACAATCAATAAACCCTTCTCTGGCAATCAGCAGCGTCATATGGTTACCGTAGTAAACCGACGTTTCGGGAACTCTGTCCCCATCATCAGCGTCCTGATGTGACTGGATACCTCGAATGTCGCCTGTATATATACCTCAGGTACATACCTCAGAACCCTAATGATGGGACAGAGTTGGTTCCCGAAACGTCGGTTTACTACGGTAACAAGTTGACGCGGCTGATTGCCCGAGAAGATTTTATTGGTACTGAATATATCTCATCCTCTTTTGTTTCGGAGTTCTTAGACATCACATTATAAAGCTCATCATTATGTATTCTTCTCTAGAATAATGCTATTTCCTCTCCAAAACGTCAAAATGTTTTACTCGTCACCATGCTGTCAAAAGCCCTCAACCTATATTAATTTCCAAAGTTTCATACTGATATTTGGTATGACTCATATCGTATGAGATCGATTTTTTCTCCGCGAATTACAGGGCACGTTTTACGTAAGACAAATAAATGGAAATCGTTACATAAAAACCATGCATATTATAATCTATTATTAAAATTTCGTCACTTTCGACAAATAGAGTATGAAGTGACGGACGGAATTAATCTGGTGTCGGTTTTGTAAAACGGTAGGCTTCTGTAAATCCTATAACAAGCCGTGTACATCAGCACTTTGAAGAAGGATCTATTCTAGAGTTAAAAACATATCGATTATAAACATCGATTAAATTAACTTACGTCACGTTGAGCTCGATTGAACTCCTGTCTGGTAATCCTTGTTCGAAGTTAAAACTACGAGAGGTTCAGTGTTTTTGATTGTAACAAAATTGCATTATCCAAAGTAAAACCTGCCACTATCAACACAACAAAATCACTCCAACACTTTGAAACCACGTTGTCTGGACTGTGCACCGAAGCATGGCTTGTGTAGAGACTACTCCCTTCTCTCTGAGGAGTTAAGCATGAATACTTCTGATTGACTCTAAGCTATAGGTCACCCCATGACGTCACTAGCAGCGTTGTTTATTAGAGGACTGCGTATGTATATTCGTTAAACTGGGACGAGCTTGGAGTTCTGAATGTCTAAATGGTCGTGTCACTATAAGTCCCCAAAGCATATTTTGACGTAATAATCTATTCACAAAAAAATAAACATTACATTGAAATCATAAAATATAAACTAACAATATAATCGACTTGTTTGTCATAGGAGAAACAGGAAATGTATCCTAACAACTTCTGGTAAGTGAGAACGAGATGCCAGGCACCGTTCAAAAATAAATATTCATTGAACTTGGAAAAAAAAAAAAAAAAAAAAAAAGCTGAAGGACTGGTGCGAACAGGTTTAAACAGGGCGTTACATGCGTGGGCTATTATATAGTCACAGCGAAATTGTTTTTATTAATACAGTCGAATTGTATGAAATTGAAACTGTCCAAAAATATTTTAAAATTATTTGCGTGACTTTTCGATCAAACTTTATAACTGCGGTTTTCTTTATTATTATAATCGTTGTGTACAATGTAATCTTTCACCAAATTTCTTGTTTCAAGGTCACATCGGAATCATCTACCGTTGTAACATTAAAAGCGAGGCCCAGGCAAGTTAAGACAGCTTAAAACTCGTAGCGTAGCAACGATGAACTGGTGACTTGTAGTCGTGCGGTAATTGGGGAGAGGGGGAGTCCTGTGGCCTTGAAACATGCAATTTGATGACGGCTACTATAAATATTTTTAATGCCCAGCCCTTAATTAATATTTTGTTGACAGCTGGCATGAAATGGGCGTGTACGACTTACCAGCTGAAATCGACTACATCCTGACAAACACAGGGCAGAAGGACCTTTCCTACGTGGGTCATTCAATGGGCACTACCATGTTTTTTGTGCTCATGTCTTTGAAGCCAGAGTATAATGCCAAAATCCGCCACATGGTGGCTCTGGCACCTGTCGCCTTTCTGAGGAACACGAAATCTCTCTTTGCTGCAGCCACCAAGTTTGTTCCAAAAGGAGTAAGCCCATAAGAGTTAATGTTATTTGGAAAAAAATATAAAGACAAATCACAGTCGTTAGGCGAATGAAACACTGAAAATATGTTACGAGGTTCTAATCCAATTCAGTCCTGTCCATATTTTCTCTATTCTGTATTGCATTCTGTTGTCCTGTGCATGAACAGATTTTGCGATAAACCAATCTCTTTTACATGGAGTCGTATTGAATATCTGAAGAATTTAGGATCAACTGTTTCAGAATTAGTTCTGAATTGTAACAGATCAGAGAGCTTGGTCCGTAATGGGTTAAAAAGCTACTGAAGATTGGAAAAAAACTACGCAATGAGAAAATTAATAATTTGTACGCTGTACACTTCACGCAGTGTTATTTGCGTTATTAATGACAAAGGATACAAAAATTTTGATCGAGTAACTGCAAGATTAAATGCTGTTTTGGATTCTGAGTAGTAGGTTGGAAAATAAATTTAACACGTATCTTAGAAAAATAGCATGTAATTAAGTGTAATGTAATGTTAATTGTTATCTTAATGGCTGTGACAAAGTTTAGTCTTGTTAGTAATTATCTTCATTTCTAAGCCTAGAAATGGTAGTGATACGTTGAAGGTAAAAATCTTATACCTTACATTACTTTAATTTATTTCAGTTACTGACTGAATTCTTGTATAATAGACAATTCTTCCCAAATACGAAGTTTATAAACGGGCCACTACGAACACTTTGCAAAACTGGTGCAATCACACAGGGACTGTGTACCAACATCTTATTCCAGATTGGTGGATTCAACTCTAACCAAATCAACCAAGTAAGTTCCGTAAAATCAAACATTTGAACACCGACAAGGTTAAGAATAGTAAGATATTTCCGTCGTGTTACTGGATAGGCAGCCCATACCTAGACGTCCTGTTATAATCTAAGAATTACACCAAACTCTTTAATCGGTTTCACAAAACTGGAAACTGTGGTTTCAATTTAAATTGGAGGTCACACACGGGGGTAACATGAAACGACTTTTGTTTGTCGGAGACTGAACCAAAGTATTTTGTCTGTGTGTTGAACTGCAAAGAAACTGTTATAAGCGACCGATTGAGGTTTTGGGGACATTTTCCCTCTTAACTCACGCTGAGACAAGACTCCATATTCCGTCCACCTTTTTTAACAGATTCTGAGCAAACTTTTTCTACAGGAATAATCCAGCCGGAGCGTGCAGCAGGCTACTGCACAAACTTTCAATGTCTTTTCTCCATAGTCCTAAGGGTTTACATTAAAATTGTGTATTTTTTGGCAGACTGTAGGGGAACTCATGTAAATATGAGCTGAGCATATTTAGGATTTCTTATGTGTGTTAGCTAGTGGAATTTTATGGAATGGCTCACGTCCTGTTGGTACGTCTGATAACTAGCTACGACTGCGGTGAAATGAGAAATGTCTTTCCTACTTAACTAACTTAGAAATATGAATTAAAACACAGGTGTTTATATAACGCAAACATTATTGTTGCTTCATTTTTGTGTTTAACTTAGAGAAAAAAGAATTTGTGTTATTTATAATGTAAGATAAATACGAGGTGCGATCGGAACGTTTCCAGACTGCGCGTATAAAAACCCGTACACTTATCTCAGGTATTAAATTCATCCATCACCCTCGAAGTAGTCGACGACTTGTGCGACATTGTTGGGATAGGCTATGGGGCCTGTCAGCTGATTCTAAAGGAAGAACTCCACATGCGACGCATCGCAGCCAAGTTTGTGCCAAGGCTCCTGTCTGAGGACCAGAAGCAGAATCGACTTTTCGTTTGTCAGGAGCTCAAAGATCTTGCAAGAACCGACCCCAGCTTCCTTTCTAAGCTCCGTGTGACTTCTTTCTCTTCCCAAAGATGAAAATTCAGCTAAAGAGAAGGAGATTTTAGACGATAGAAGAGATTCAGGCAGAATCGCAGATGGTGCTTGACAGGCTGACCAAGAAAGATTTCCAGGGATGCTTCCAGGCTTGGCAGCGGCGCTGGGATCGTTGTGTTCACTCCCAGGGGAACTACTTCGAGGGTGATGGATGAATTTAATACCTGAGATAAGTGTACGGGTTTTTATATGCTCAGTCTTTAAACTTTCCGATCGCACCTCGTACTCGATACCATTGGCTACAAATTTTTCGTTCTTTTATTACATTAGAGAGTAAGCTATTCAACACAGATATCTAATAGCTGAAAATGGTTTATTTGTTGTTTTTATTTATTGCAGAATATGCTTCCGATAATTTTTACTTATTTTCCTGCCGGGTCCTCTTTTAAAGCCTGGACACACTACGGTCAGCTTATGAGATCAGGTATTTACATTTCTTCTTTATTTAAGATTAGATTTTCGAAATGACATGTTGATGTGCTGAAATAATACACCGTGTAAAACAACCTGTATATGAACACTCAAGAAACCTGAGCTGTAATTATTAACTAAATTAAAAACAATAATTCAGGTACTTGTCAAAAAATGAGTAATATTGTCATATAAAGAAACTGGGTGTGATTTTTCAAATAGCCCAATCCGGCCTGAAAAAAAAACTAGTTTTAAATGGTAAAAATTCAATTTTAAAGTCCACCACCATCTACTCTGAAATTTTACCAGTCTACATGGCTCAACAACCCAGAAGACGGTAATCTTGATACCAGCCACCCCCCCTTCTATATGTCACTTCGTATTCTGTCTTCATGACCTTGAAATATTAATGATTTAAATATATGATAAACACGTCCGCTCAACAGATGTATAAAGAAAAAATTCAGGCCAGTTTTCCCTCAATTGCACTAAAGCAGAGGTTCCCAAACTTTTATACCTTACACCCCCCTTAAAACATTTCATAAATTTCACGCTCCCATTCCAGAACAAGTTCAAGCAAACAGATTTGACATAAAATTTAGCTATGAGTATACATTTTTTTTATAATTTAATATATATTATTCAATGCATTTAATTTAAAAAGCTATAATAAAATATACTCTTCATACCCGGATTAGTGGGATGGATGTGGTTGCTTCTGTGAATATAATTTATCATAAATGGCCGCTCTAAGGTCGTTTTAAAGGTTCATCGTAGAACGATATTTTGTTTTGATGGCAGCCACTGCTGAAGATCCAGTCTCGCACAGGTAGGATGTTGCGAAAGAAAGAAGGATGTTCAGAGATTTCCCTGCAGTGCCCACCCAAAATTCTATGTACAACTTCCTAGGAAACTGAACTTTTAAAGAAGTATCAGATATAACGTCAATATAGTTTTTTTATTCTGCAAGAGAAACGTCGTAATTTTGAGGCGAATCAGCATGGAATGGATCCGTGATCCATTTGTATTTATCACTTACTGCTTCTGGAAAATACTTAGAAAATCTGGACTGCAGATTAACGAAGTTGAAAAAAAAATTTCATATAAAAAACCCGCCCCCCAGGGGACGCGCCCCATACTTTGGGAACCTCTACACTAAAGTAATCTCGTTGTCTTCATATATTAATGAAATATTTCTTGTCGGCAAATGCCAGTATTAGACCAGTGAAAACATATGATATTTTACTGTCGAAACGTCTGGTAACAAACGTATCTATGTAGGATTTCGTGGTTACAGGTATGTTCAGGCAGTATGACTACGGATTTATACGGAATTTGATCAAATATGGAAATACCAACCCTCCAGAATACAATTTTGCTGTGATTACTTCACCAGTGAGCCTGATAGTTGGTCAAAATGATTGGCTAGCGACGCCAGAGGTAAGTGAATCCATTAGTGTATTTTCTCGATTCGGCGTTCTTTGTAGAATCGTCTTGAGACAAAGAAATTAGGATAATTTAAGTTTTCGTTCGCTTATACCATGTCATTAAAATGCATGACGACTTGCCAGCGAATACTACTTTTAAGGTTACTTCTGTTCAAAAAAGTTTAAAAAACAATTTCACACCGGTACAAAAGATATAATTTTTTTACAAAACCTAATAGGATGATAAAAATTAAAGAAACATTGTCTTAAAATCATTTTGGTTTAAAACCATTATAGTTACTAATATTACATTCAAATATGCTAGTCACTATTTCTTTTTACTAAATAATCTGGCCCTGTAATCCTGGGGTCTCGGGTTCGATTCCCGGCGGTACCCGAATTTATAACTTGTGTTGGGCAAGGCCGTGGTCTAGGCAACACGGAGTTTTCCTCCGTGGCATCCCAACAATTACTCCATTCACACACAGAAGAAGGCAATGGCAAACCACTGCTGGATCATCTGCCAAGAACGTATATGAACAGGTCCCAATCCGAGAAAAGGATGGAAGGATCCTGCTCATATGGACCTGTCCTCAGACAGAACACTAAATAAATAAAAAATAA